AGCTCTGACACGTGAAGCCGTCATGGTTCCTGCTGCCTTTGAATTCTGTGTTTTGTCTCTTGCACCGACATAGTTCCTGAAACTAAAGAAGTGGTGATCCACAAGTACAAGACTCCCATGGTGAGTCCTCCTGCCCTCGCTCTGTAACCTGTACTCTTCTGTTTGTCATTTATGTTCGTATGACGAGTACTGAGTACTGCTTTACCTCGACGTGGAACTGATTGCATGGATGTGTTGAGGGCTCTTAAAGTATTTCACTAATAATCAGTGCTTGAAGTGGGGGGAAGAAGCGCTGGTACTCTCCTCCTACCTCTACCTGCCGCTACCCATCCCAGGTGCTCTGACCCCGCCCCCATTCCTAACAGACTGTTAAAACAACAAACTATTTCAGCACCGTCTTATCTAACTACTGTGAACGACACTCTGTGGAAATACTGTTTAGTGAGGGATGAGTACGATGAAGTGGACTGTGTTTGTATGTACTGGGTCTGTCGTAGTTCTTTCGTTTTCCAATTGATCAATTTGTGTTTGTCCTGTTCGACTCATCAGTAGTGATCCGTAATCTGGCATCTGTTTTGTTGAAGACAACTTGGATGTTTGTCACTGGAAACTTCTGATTATGCTGCTTCAACAGTTTTTGCTTGGAAATGCCTACATGTGGTGTTAATATTTAAGTATCTTATTCCACTTACAATACTGCAGTTTTTAATGAACACTCCTCAGGGTTCTCCTGAGGTGTTCTTGTCCCTCGCCGTGGACCGAAGACGGACGGACTGACCCACTCACCTTTCTCCAGGGGCATGGTTTACTCGGGCTCCTCTCACATCGACTCAGCATTGGCCAAATGTGTCTCCATTATCTGTTCCTGCTTGGTTTTGGGAACTGCCTCAGCTGTGGTTCCAAGCGAGCCGAGCAAATGATTTAGACGTCACCGCACGAGCCAAGGCGATCTTTACAAACTCCTCCTGAAACACCATTTCCATTTCGTTGCGTGTACGTGACCGAGTTGGAGAGCTGCAACCCGTGGTCGAATGGTGAGGTGCAGACCGTTGTATCAGTTTTGTTAGACGAGCACATATAGCATGAGCTCAGTGGAGGAACTGGCTGCCCACGGGTACACTCACACTTTCAAACAGTGCCATGACAAATTTAAAACATGAAGTCCGGCTACTGGACGATAAAGGATCACAACGGGTGAAGCACGTAGAGCCGGAGGAACTGGACGTGGTTTGCTGCTCACAGATAATCCTGCACAAAATTCCTGCAAGATCCCACCCAATGAGTGAGGGACACACTTTCCATGGAGACACACCTACACTTGAGCAGAACCGACAAGAAACGGAGAGATTAGAGTGGTACTTAACAACGGAGAAGCAGTTTATGTAAACTGGCCACCCCGATCATTTGAGGAAACTTTGCTTTTTAATTCTTGAATTGAGTTTAGGTTCCTCAAATGACTGAGGAAGCTGAAAATTAATCTATGGTGGCCAAGGCCACCATTGGCCACCCCCCCGGCTCCACCATTGTTTCCAGTTGTAGATGAAATCGTTCCCTCATCTCGTCAGGGTCCATCATTCTGCACTGCCTTGGACAGACAAAGAAACAAAGAACCACCTCTGTTCTTCTACTCAGTTTAACTTCCACAAACATGAAGGCTCACCTGCATTCCCAGTTCAATTCCAGTCCAAAAAACTAATCTCGAAATCTACAAACATTCACTATTCAAATCCGTCGTGACATCGGTGCACCGACGTTAAGAAGAGTTTGCTGAAGCGAGCGTCGAGACAGACGGAGTGCACGTGTTTTGTTGCCTGCATGTATGCACGATCTCAGTGAAGTCATTTAAAATGTGCCTTGGATTAGATTTGTGTCTTTCCTATTGTGTTAATCCAGAGCCGTTCTTCTCTTAGTGTCTTCTTGTAAAGTGTTTGATCTTTTTTCCTCTCCTCTGCAGGCACATCAGATCTGTTACTCCGTCCTCTGTCTGTTCTCGTACGTGGCGGCAGTAAAGGGGAAGGAGGGGGAAGGAAAACCCAAGATGCTGTCACCGAGACCCCTTCCTAGCTAGTCGACACCCTGCACCGTCTCCCCCCAGCCACCCTCCCGTCCTCGGTGTGCCTCTCTACTTGAAACGGCGTCTCAAACTCTTGACAATCCCAAACTCCACTCTAAGCACACACTTCCTGTCCTCTCCTCCTCCTCTGTAGATAGAAGCCCGAGATCCTTTTTAGATCCGGTTGTGTCGACATGTTTGCTCTGTGATGTCGTGTAAATACTCCCCAGCCCCGTTCACCGCTGTTGTTCTGATGTTCCGACTAGCTGCACATTGTTGACTCTTTAATCTGAAGAAGTGACCCCCCCCCCCCCCCCCCCGATCGAGTTTCTCTGCTCTGTGGGAACGTGTCCTGTTGCTCCCGCCAAGATCCAACAGTTTTTAAATCGATGGGAGGGATTAGCCCGAGCCAGAATGTGTGCAGGTCTCGTGCACAAGCAGCCTTGACATTCACTACAATGAACCCCCCCCCCCCCCCGTCGAAATGCAATTCTGTGTTACTCTGTGGTTCTCTGCTTACTGTAAAGTTGCAGTCCAAGTTTTCAAGCGCTGAAGCATCCAGAGCCCCATGTTCCCTCCTGACTGCAGCAGAGCATGTAAACTCCTCGTAACGTGTTCAAACCCCGAGTGTCCTCACGTGTTCTCTGGGCCCGCCAGGCTCAACCACTGTCTCTACTGTAAAACTGCTCGTCCGTGGTCCTCTGGTATTAACTGCATGTTACTGTAAGGCTGAAGGATAAATATTATATATATATTTCTATATATAGTATTTATTTAATATATATTGACTGTACATTTCACTGGGGAAAAACAAAATGTTGATTTGCTAGATGTGCAATACTTCAGAAGTAGTTAGCCATTGCCAGAGCCAGGATCCCTCGAGTGGTCCGGCTCCCACAGGGTGAAGAATGTAAGAGATTTGTTCTTTTTCTATAGTGTGGATTTACTGAATATTCAGTGTGACATGACTGTTCAAAGTGTCCTCCAAATGTGTGCGTCGGTCAGCCAGAGGGCAGAAAACAGCCGCTGTGTTGCTCTCGTTAATGAAAACCAAACTGAGTCGGACATCTTCTGCTCCAAACGACCTCTGAGCTGATAGTGCAGCTTTGATCATAAACTTTAACAACTCAAACAGCTAAGCCCTGCTGCGGTGGGTCCATCAGCTGGACTTTAGCTGATCTACACCCAGAAAACAATGATTTGAAGTCGGTGAAACGTTCATCAGCCCCTGAGTTATAAACTGTGTTGGAGCCGTTTATCAACCCGATTTATTTTCAGCTCACAGTACTTCCAGTTAAATATTTTACTTTTTAAGTTGTTCCCTGAAAGGAAAATAACTGAAATCAATTCAAAGACCGAACCGTGTCTGCCACATGGAAAACACGTCATGTTTGAGGCACGTCTGACCTAAACCGCAGCCGCACCGTTTGCTCTAAAGCAGAAAACTGAGTTGCAACTTTTGCTCTAGAAAGCCGATAATGACACGTTAGGAGTTTGAGAACAAACCGAGGAGCAGCTTTCTGTCCTGTGACTGACCCTCGGCTGAGGTGAGGAGATCATCTGGTCTTTGTGTCGTGTTTGTTCCATGTTGGTGGAGAACAGTTGAAACCTGCTGGCCTGTTATACTGTGAGTGTGTGTGAGTGTGTGTGGTCACGTGGTGTGAAGGTTCTTCTAATCAGCAATATATTGCTACAGCGATCTCACTGGAAGAGGGTTTATCTTGATCCTGACATGCTTGTATTTTTAGTAACTTGACTCCGCAAAGTAGAAATGTCAGAAAGCTTCTGAGAAGATGTCGTTGGGTTGGAGAGAGCTCTGTCTGAAGCATGGACCACGCACAGTTGCTGCTTCAGCTCAGTTTGTTGGAAACTGGAATATAAACACCTGCTCCGATTGTATTCACCGGCTGCTGACAGGAGGAGGAAAGTATGAGGTCAGGTGTCAATATTCCAGTATTTAGGGTGGAAAAAAGTATTTATAGAATATGTACAGCTTTGGCAATCTAACAATAAAGTTGTCCCAAATGAAGCTCGGCGTGGTCGTCTTCCTGAAACCAAAGGTCTGACAGCTGTACATTTAAAGTTTATTTGTTAAATTTCTGGTTTTACAGTCTCCATCAAAGTGAACCACAGAAATATTAAGGCTGTACAAAATGCCAAACAAACAGGACATGCTTTTAAAAGTAATTTAATTGGCAGAATATTTTTCATAAGGTAGTATTCAACCTAACATGCTGTTTGTGATGAGACAGACAGATTCCCGTCTCGTTCAATCTTCATGGATGAAACCAGAACCGTCCGTTTGGACCGGAGGCTCCAACACGTTCATGTAATCCTGCTGCTCATCCCAGTTTTTAAACCAAAAGAACATGGCATCAGACAGAGGTAGCTAACGCTGTGGCAGCCAAAGAAAAATACACATCAATCCAGCACCACGGTGGGATTATGCCTGAAATCTCCTGTTAACCTGTAATCTATTGGAGAACACACAAAACAAATGTGAAGAACCTTTGGTTGCTGCTGATCACTAGAAACTAAACTAACAGGTCACCATCAGCCTCGTGTGTTTTCACACGATTTCAGAACAATTGAACATTTCATAAATTGTTAAATAAGCACATGGATTAGATTAGACTTTTAGATTACCGTCTAATATTCTTAAGCCAAATATCAGAGTAGGAGTTTTATGATCATATAGTGGGACAGGTGACGACACAAAACATAATTTAGGCTTTGAAAAAACAAACAGTCCAAACGCACCTTAAAATCACAACTTGAGAAGTTTCTCTTTGCATTGCTGAGTTGCACAATTAACATGTTTAAAATGAACAAATCTTTATTCTCCTTAATAAAATTTTTATCATTCTGCATGTTATCAAAAATATAATTTTCACGTTATTTACATTACTGTATTAGTTGCTGACTGAACCCCTCTGGTCCAGTGGGTCGGTGTTTGTCTTCTCGTCTTCAGGCTTTAAGACTAATCAGTCGGAGTGGAAGGACGTCTAGTCAAACGTGGTCTTGTGTCCGCAGCTCACTTCCTCCTGGACGTTTCTGTGGAGAATCCGGAGACGAGACATGATCTCGTCCCAGTCCAGGTAGGCGCCTTCCAGGTGTCTCAGCCTGTCTGGCCTGCTGATGAAGTTCTTCCTCCCGTGCAGCAGACGCCAGTTATCAAAGGTCACGATGTCACCTGCAGTACAAAGGGCAGAATCTGTTGGTGTGAAGGTTCGTGTCCCGACGGTCTCAGTCTGCTGCTCCCAGAGCTTTCACAACTTTTACATTCACTAATCACTTTATATCACTCTGACGTCATCACTAATCACTTTATATCACTCTGACGTCATCACTAATCACTTTATATCACTCTGACGTCACGTGCACTGCAGTGTGGCACCACTGACGGGAGCTCCGCTTTGACACTTCTGTCACACTTCACACACATATGTTCCCTCTCGGGCTCTGAGATCATCCGATCAGCTGCTTTTGGTTGTTTCAAAAACACGACTGAAGCTCCGAGGAGATCGGGCGTTTTCAGTCATGGGTCCCAAACTGTGGAACAACCTACCCCCCAACATTAGGCATGCCACCTCCCTTCCTGTGTTCAAATCCCTGCTAAAAACACATCTGTTCTCTCTGGCGTTTCATACTGTGTGAGTTGATTTAGTATATCTTGTTCCATGTCTTCATTTTAATGCTGTTGTTTTAATTTTTTAAGGTATATTCTTACTGCTTTTTATTTCTCAGTGTTACCATTAGTGTTAAGCACTTTGATAACAGTCTGTTTTAAATTGTGCTCTATAAATAAATATGACTTGACTTCTTTTATTCCCGTTTTTGTTCTTTCTTTTCTTTGCACCTACACTACGGGTATGACCGATGCACTTTTGGAGTTTTGTGCGTCGCTGCCTTGACATTCAGTTCCTGGCCCTCTTGCAGCCTCAGGCCCGTCATGGCGGCCGTCTCCATGATCCTCCGTCTGCCTGCACCGACCGAACTCTATGGAACAGTTCAGTTTCGTGGGGAAACTGGACGTTCAGTCTCTGCCGGCCCTGGTTCTGGAGGAGTCTTCGTCCGTTGCAGCTGTCGTTATTATCATGCTGCTAACAGGACCGCGCTGCTAGCAGGACTTTGCTGTTGTAGATTTAAATCTTTTTCACTTTAGGCGCCTTGTTTCTGTGTTTTTGTTGCATGCTTTGGTATTTCTTGTTCCCGTTACGGCGAGTCGAGACGATTCTTCTTCTGAGCATTTCATTGCATTGTTGACCTTGTGTTGATCTGCATAAGACTATAACCCTAAACCTAACTTTTATTTAGCTCTTAATGCTGACCCCACTCGGTGGCCTCCACCACATACAGGCCACGTTTGGCCCACAAGCCATCAGTTTGTTGTCACTGCTGTGGCTTCTCTGTAGAAACACGGAGCTCAGTCAGTGGAGACTTCAGCACATCGTCTTAGGAAAAATGAGCTACACAACTTTTATTTAGTAAATGTTTGTGAACACTGCATTTCAACATGGATCTGAGCTGCGTGCACGAGAACCACAAATCCAGCAGGAACCTGTTCACGTACAAAGATGGGGCGATAAGAAGAAGGCCAGAGCTGCTAGCCCCCCACCCTTTACTATTGCATCATTCAGGATGTACGTCGGTCCTGATTGGACCTTTGCAGTTCCAACTTTCCAGCAACGTCCTCAGGATGGAAGAGTGAAACAAAGCAGCTGTAGAAAGCGAAGCGTCCTCTGAACCTGTCCTCCAGTCTCGTGTCTTTGTCTCAGCCACTGGAAGCTGCAGCGTTTCCTGAGCAGAGATTTATGTTGGAGGTTTCAGCGGTCTTGGGTAATTTGATTTGGTCGACAGACACAGAGATGGCCGTGACGTCTAATGTCATGATGACCTTAAAGAAGATGAAGGTGCACGCCACAGTAACAGAACATGTGGTGTTTACCATTAGACTGTCTCCTGCAGAGCCAGTCGGTCTCCATGAACAGCCTGCTCCAGTTCTCATCTTTTTCTCTTGTTCCCCCTCAGAGAACCACATCAGACGGCTAAAACCAAACATTTGGCATGAATTGAGGCTTTGCTCAGTCTGAAGGACACACTGACCTGGCTGCATGGTGTAGGTGACCACGTTCTCCGGTCTGTTCATGATGTCCACATAGGCCCTCAGGGCTCTGTAGAAAGGCTGGACCTGGTGCAGGGGGAGGTCCAGCACCGAGTCTCTGGTGGCGTTGTTGTAGTTTATCTTCATAACTCGGCCCTCAGCATCAACGCTGCGCAGACACACAAAGAACGAGATGTTTCAGTTTGACCAAAGGTTCAATCCTTATCCAGTGAGTTTAAATTTATCAAAGTGACTTCAAGATCATTTAAAGAATTAGACACTTATGTCACATGTCAAACAGCCCAGATTTATAAGAAATAAAACAGTTTTAGTACTTAAAGCAAACACACTTCCTTTGCAGAGGATGTTTCAATTTTTTTTATTTGATCATTAAAAAGTCTAAACGCTTGTATTCCTTTAGTTTCAGAGGAAGTTCAACAAGTTTTACACATTCTGCATTAGAAGATTTAAATACCTACTTTTAGAGTCTATTGCAAGGATTTAATTTTTTTAATCGGTGACATGATTACATGTGGTCACAAAGGTGCAGGACTTCAAGTGTTTGAGGTCCACTGTCCAGGACCATGGGGAGTGTGGTAAAGAGAGTCCAGGCAGGATGGAGAAGTTTCACGAGTGATTTGTGACAAAAAGTTTAGAAGACAGTGGTGAGACCAGCTCTGTTGTATGATCTGGAGACAGAGACATGGACAAAAAGACAGGAGACAGAACTGGAAGTGGCAGAAATGAAGATGTTGAGGTTCTCCTTAGGAGTGACCAGGATGGATAAGATTAGGAATGAGATCATCAGAGGTGCAGCACAGGTTGAACAACTGGGAGATAAAGTTGGAGAGACCAGACTGAGACGGTTTGGACATGTCCAGAGGAGGGACAGTGGGTATACTGGTAGAAGGATGTTAGAAATGCAGCTGCCAGTAAAAAGACAAAGAGGAGATACATGGATGCAGTTAGAGACATGGAGGTAGTTGGAGTGAGGACAGAGATGGAGGAGGATGACTCACTGTGGAGACCCTGAAGAGGGACAAGCCAAAAGAAGAAGTAACATAATTAAATGTGAAAGCCCATTTCGAACAATGTACTGTTGATTAAACACAAGAGATCGTAAGACTTCATTAATTATTGTATCTGACCATTTGTGTTAAATTGTGAACTCTTCAAGTTGGTTTGTTTTTAGTCAAATTTCCATCAGATCCCAAATGTGAAATCTGGTCCCAACAAGAAACTAGACTGAAGTGTTCCTGTTCAACTTTAGGTCAAGTTGACGAGAACAACTCTGACCAGCAGATGGCAGCGTCTCCATTTCAAATGGAAGCCATCCTCACGCAACAGGAGATGCTTCTGTTCTCTTTGGGGTTTTTTCTTGCTTTGTTCGTGCGTGAGGATAAATATTGACTCGACAGCGCTTACTCGATGATGCGGTTCTTGGACTGCAGCATGAAGTCGCAGTAGTCCGTTCCGGTGTCGATGAAGTCCACGTGCAGAGAGGTGAGCGTCCTGAAAGCCTCTGGGTCTTCTCTCCGCAGCTGCTCGGCCATGTGGAAGCCGTCCACCACCTCGCTCTCGCCTCCTTTCACAGCCTGGTTGATGCAGTGCAGAAACTGCACCTGTAGATGCAAAACGCTGATTTAACACCCTGACGTCACAAAGATCAAACACCAAGCGCAGCTCGTGCGTGAGCCCATTTCAGTTTAATGCTCTAAAGGGCAAATACAGATCAGACTCACTCCAGGTGGAAAGTTTAGCGCGGGGTAGTCTGTATGCAGGCTGAGCTTCCCTGAAGTGTAGGCTACATTGTTTGCCATGGGTTTGTCCTGGACCTGCCATGTATGCCTGAGGACAAAGATAACGTTCATTAATAAACCACACTTTAATTATTCAACTTTGGCTTTAGAAGATCAGCAACGACAATTAGGCTGCGAGGAGAAAAGGATGAGACGAGATGAAGTTGGGGAAGGATCCCCGAGGGGAAACTGGGCAGCTTCACAGGAACGCTCCGACTGCAGACTCTTAAGCAGATTCTTCGTTGAGATGCAGCGTGAGAGGAGCACTAATGAGCTAAAGTCATCTCCAGCATTCTGTTTGCGAGCCTCGTTTGGGATGAAGTCGGAGCTGTTGAACAGTTCCTCTGTCGGCACATTCTCAGTTTCAGTTTGCAGACTCTACTTCCTGCAGGATGAGCTCGTCTGCTGGCTGTGGAGAACGTTTTATGGTCCAAACCTCTGTTTTGGCTGACTGCACCAGGTAATTCCTCAGGCTTAAAAAAAAAAGATGGAAGGCTTGTCGGTTGTTTTCCTCATCTCTGTCCTCAGATAATCAGCAGTGCAATAAGTCAAAGAGATGAACATCGACGTGATGAGAAAGGCCAACAAATGATTTCACCTCTGCCATCCAGATGATGGAAAACAGCTGCAGATATAAGGTCAGAACCGTTTCCTCCTTTAAATAAAACCTCCATCAACTTTCCCTTTTTTAAACACGTAACATTAACAGGCTTTTGCTGTTCTTAAAAAAAAACAATAACTGGAGAAGCATCACAGGTTTTACCCATAAAATGTCAGCCGGAGATAGCCGATCCTCTCTGCGAGCCGGGCCACTTGGCCCTGCTCTGCAGGAGCCCCCTTCAGGTACACGATGCCAACGCGGCGCAGGGCCAGCAGCCAGGCGAGCGCAGCCTTATCGTCAGCGAGCACTTCCTGGTAATCGGCTGTGGGGATACGCAGCTTGGCGTCCCAGTAATAACGCTCTGAAATGAGAAGCGACAGACACATGAAGCTGGGCAGAACCTGGACTTTTGTCAGTCGCACTTTTTAATCTAAAAAAACAACCTGCATGTTTTGTGAAGCTCCTCCACGACACGGATCGTTACAACTGGAAACACAGACGGACACTTCAGATCCACGTGAGCTGAACTGTGCTCATCAAATGGACCTGAGCCAACCAGATGTGCAGCATGTGCAGAGCAACACATCTGGCATTTAGGCTTCTTTGTTTACCGAGCCGTGATGCAGGTAAAGAGCATCAGAACAAAAAGTATGCCAAATATTCTCTCTGCACTTCCCTCACTGCTTTTTTTATTTTCAAGTCTTAAATCCCTTTAAGTATTTTAGCATGACAGATTTAATGTTTGTTTTACTCCATAAAGGAAGCAATTAATCTACAAGTTAGTAATTGCTTCATTTATTTGCTGGAATTCGATACATGTATAAATGCTGCAGCACTCCTGGAGATGAATGGCTCAGTGTTCGGAAAAAATAAAAAAAGAGGCACGTCTCCATTAGACAGACAGAAATGGAAAAAAAAAAAATCTTCCCACTGCTCTCCACCCAGCTGGCTCCACTCCTTCTTTCCATGCAGCATGTCTCCAGTGGCTTCCTCAGAAACAGCTGCTAAGTACATCTGTGGGGGGGGGGGGGTCGACGAGGAGACGGTGTACCTGGTTTATTTTTATGCTGCCTCCTTGTGACTAACGCACCGACTTAGAAATGACCTTCACAAAGGCTGCATCACATTCAGACTGCAGGAGCACAACGTGGGGCGGACGAGCCCCCCAACAATGAATTCCACACACCAGATGAGTTTAAAATCCACCAAGAAAATCTGAGGGGTGTGCAGCCTCAAAGATGAAAAACAAAGAGCGCGGCCGGTGAGGTGGAACTTTTTAAAGGCAGCACGGCACAAAGAGCCGACGGATGCTCCGCCGGTCAGACACGGTGATGATCGTGACTAAGACCCCCCCTCCAGGCTGTTGTCACAAATGATCCGTTTCTGGCTGCACAACTCAAGAGGGTCAAGCACCCACTGCTTGTTAAAACACGTCAGAAGGGTGGAGGCAAACACAGAGAGCGTGAGAAACAAGGGCCAAAGGTCAAGCCTTGAATGCTACAATTACTGGTGAAAGCTGTCTCGCCCGTGCTCCGCAGAGCTTCAAGCTCTTCAGTCCAGGGTGTCGATGGTGGCCGAGGCTGCGGGCAGCATATACATCAGCCGTGCAGCTCTGGCTGCGGCTCAGCAGGATTCTCGTTGTGGAATCTCGTCACGCTCGCTGCTATCAGGACGGTTCACTCTGTGCCTTCTGAGTGGAACAGAAGGTGAGATCTTTGCACCAGTATCTGCTGTGGAATCGTGTCGTCAGAGCAGCTCGGAGCTTTTAATCACGAGGGCTAATCACCATCATAAATCTGAGATAAGAAGGCTCAATGAGAAACTAGAGAAATGGCATTTCCTGCAAAAATGCAGTGGGAATGCTTTTAAGAACTTGCTGAAAAACAGCTGAAATGAGCTAAAAACGGCTGAAATGAGCTAAAAACAGCTGAAATCAGCTAAAAACGGCTGAAATGTAGCTGAAATGGAAGAACAAGCCTAAGTTAGCAACAAAAAAAAGCAGAACACATATTTGCTGAATTGGGTTTAAATAAACAGAAATGAGCACAAAAATTAGGAAATTAGCTGAAAAAAATGAAATTAGCCAAAAAGAAAAAAAAAGCTGAAAAGTAGTTGAAAGGCAGAAAGAAGCTTAAAATACCAGAGGCAAGTTGAGCACATTTTTTGATGAATTGGGCTGAAAAAAGTTGAAAAAGTGCAAAAAGTGTGGAAGTAGTTGAAAAGACAAATTAGCATAAGCTAAACAGTAGCTAAAATAACAAACTAGCAGAAATAAGCTGAAAGGAGCATAAATAAGTTAAGTGACTTAGTGCTAGCTAAATAAACTGAACTAAATTAGGCTGAAAGTAGCTTGAAAAGCTTGGAATTATCTGAAAACAGCTAAAATTAGCTAAAAAGGTAGCAGAAAAAGTAGAAGCTAGATTCACAGAAGAAAGCAGAACATGTTTGCCCCATTAGACTGAAAGAAGCAAAAATGAGCACTAAAAGGTAAATTATCTGAAAATTGTTGAAATTAGCAAAAAACTGCTGAAAAGTAGCTAAAAAAGTAGACAGAAGCTGAAATTACGAGAAGGAAGTGGAGAGCACGTTTTTCTGAATTAGACTGAAAAAGTTTAAATTAGTGCAAAAACTAAAATTAGCATTAAAAACAGCTGTAGGTGAAATAGTAGCAAAAGTTGAAACTTGCAAAAATAAGCTGGAAGGAGCAGAACAAGCTGAAATTAGTAGAAAGAAGTTAGAAGCACAAAAATGTTTTAGTTACAAAGAATCTGAAAGGACCACAAAACAGGTGAAAAAACCCAGATGAAAAAACAGCTAAAAGTAGCTGAAAATGTTTAAATTTGCGCAAGGAAGCTGAAAGAAGCTGAAGCAGAACAAAATGTGAAAGGAGCAGTGAAAGGTTGTAAACACTAAAGATCTGAAGGAGGTAAAATGAGCTCAATTCATTTTCTATGAGAAAAAAGTGTTAGAAAAGGCTAAATGTTTCAAAAAGCTAAAGTTGCACCAACACCACAAGTCTTAGCAGGGTTGTTCTGAAAGAGCTGAACATTTTCATGTACGATTTGTTGAAAGAACTTGAAAACTACGCGACAAGAATTGTGCCGAAAAACGTACAGAAGAAAAATGGATCCGTGTGAACGCTTCATAAACATTCACACGATAAAAACCTCCTCACCCAAACTGTCTGGTCAAGTTTTCACTCTTAATAAAACATTTGGTTGAGATTTGCAAGTCTGCATTGTATTTATTTACACATCACACCAACTTTTTCTGAACTGGGGTTGTATTACTCTTCTTGGTTATGAAATGAAATGATGAGAAAACGTGAGTTATTTGCAGTAATCCTCATCATTAACTATCATTCGTGCAAGAAGAGTGTCAGTTCATCGCTCGTCCTCCAGAGCCGGTCTGCGCTCGTGTGTCGGCCCCTTCAAATATTTATTCAAGCTTCATTTCTCCACCAAGTTTCACAAACAGTTAAGCTTTAATTGAATGGGACATGTACTGTTTTTATCACTTGTGCATCACCACAGAATTCCTCACACAGCCCATAAAAAAAGAGAAGCGCATTCTTTATCATTAGATGGAGCAGCTTCGGTCGAGACTTGTCTTTGCATCTGGACGTACAGTATGGCTGTTCTGAACTCGCTGTCCTTCTGGTGCGAACAAGGAAAGCCCGAGGCAGTCAGAGCAGCAGCGCACACCCTTCATGGTGAGAACAGAGCAGGCGTCACATTGAAGTCACACACAGTATGACAATAAGGAGCATGGGAGCTGTGCAGAGCAGCTTGGAAGGAAGGCTGCTGCAGTCAGGAGGCTCCAGCGTCTAGAGCACACAGAGAGAGAGAGCCGGCCCCGTGGGATTTGTAGAAGAACATCAGCTCAGGTGATAAAAAGAATGGAGGCGCTGCTGAAACACATTAGTATTTCTGTTTACAGTCAACTTAAATGTCCATGTGCAGCTCTGTCCTGGGACACCACCCTGACTACAGTTGGTGTAAGTGGAAAGACTCGGCTGGAAAAAAAGCAAAGAACAGCTGAACGAGCTCAAACATCCCGACGCCCTTCAAATGATATACATCCAGAAGGAAACATGAAGGAAGAGCAGCAGCAGCAGAGGGAATAATGGGAGCTTCATAGAGTTGGACAGTCCTTCCTACAGATCTGTGCTGCACTGTGACGCTGCCAATGCTTGGCTCTGGCCTTGCAGTTGAACTGGGGGGGCGGGGTGGACCAGTTGATGCCAACACAGACTTGGGCAGCCCTGGAACTGAAGCAGAGTCTAGTGATTAGTTTTATTTTCAGATAAAAGCTCCGGAGAATGGAAACAGTGTTTTGTGTGTGCTCAGACTGCTGGAGCTGTAAATCCTCCATGCAGTCGGTCTGTCCCTGATCTGAATCTCTAAAGTGGACCGACGTGACGAGCAGCAGAACTGGATCTCCTGTGAGGGACCGTGTCAGCAGAGTGGCAGAACAGCTGAGTGCCCTGGCTAGAGGCCTGAAGACGAGACTGACAGAAGACTTAGGTTTCGTCCTCTGCCTCTGCTAGACATGCGACTAATAGAAGTCTTATAACCCTTCAGATGTGCAACATGCACTTTGTCCAAGTCCAG